ACTTCATTAACAGCTTTTATAGAAGTGTCAGATTTACTAGTTTTAACCTTTGATGAGCCAACTACTGTATCTAATTTATTATTTGTTGCTTGTTTTGTTATATCTTTCTTTTTTGGTTGACGAAAAAGAAGTTTTCCCGTTTTCTCATCAATAGCTGGTGAATCTTCTTGAATTTCCTCTTCTTCTGATAAAGATTCTTTAAAAGAAAAAAATCTTTTTTAAGTCATTCACATCAATTAATGATAATAATTAAATAAAGAAACGGAAACCTTGTTTTTTGTCTTTCTCCTTTGATTCCAAAATTTTCTTCACTTCTTGTTCATTTAAATGTTTTCCTTCTTTTAAAACAACAATTTGTGGTCTTTCTTCCTCTCTATTTGCATTTATTTCATCAAATTCATCCGATGATTCATTATCATCGTCTTCTTGTTTAAGATTTGTTTCTTTGTCCGGTTGAGTTAAACCTCGTAAAAAAGATGGTACCTAAAAAATTAATGTACAATTTCTTTCTTAAAAATACTTTACATTGTTTTTTTTTTATTCTTTAATTTTCAATTCATACCGGAGCATCATATGTTAATCCCCGTGAGAATTGATACGGAGTCATATTCTTTGGTGGCATATTTAAGAATTTCGAAAGGAAAGACGCTTTTTTTTAGTGTGGATCTACAAATTCGGTCAATCAATTTATAGCGATATTTGTCATTTGTGCCGCAGTTGAAACTGAAACTTAGAAAAAATAATTTGACATTAAATATTACGAAGCTTTATTGTGATAATCCACTAAACAATGTATTAGAGTTGTTTTGGAATTGATTTTTGCATATATTATAAAGCGTTGTGAAATTGGACAGTTTTGGCTTTTGGACAAAACCTTTTTTTTTTTTTTCTTCACTTGAGCAGTCGTGCCACTAAGCTTTTATTAAGAAATGATCAATTAAACTGGACAGATTATGACTTAAATTTTAGTTGTGACATCCTGCAGACGCATGCTTATTCATGCTTACCTCTATGAGCCCTATAGGCGATCTGCTGGCGCCAGTTCACACACAATACTGAAGCATTATGGTACCTAGAAGTTCACCTGACCACTACCTTACAATAGAATATTGTTAATCTAATGATATCTTTTTGTAAGGAAGTGAAGAACAAGAAAAAAAAAGAACAAGGAGTTAAAAACTGAGGAATAGAGAATAATAATGAAAAAAATACAAACAAGAAGTAAAAAAAGAATATATTATAAATAGAAAAAAAAGAAAAAATAGCAAACATACATGTTATTTCAGTATGATAATTATGTTTATTTCAAATGATTATAATTATAAAGCTGTTTGAGGTTTTTAAAAATTATAAACTATATTGAATATAGAAGACTCTACTACTAACATTATTTATTTAGTTTATTTAACAAAAACATTTATATATATAAACCTTTTGACTAGGACACTATAAAGTTATTATAATGAAGGGATGATGATCCTAGTGTAGTAGTTGGGTTGTCATCTTCCAAGTGGCAGGTCTAAGGTTCAAATCCCACCTACAATGAAATTTGGAAATTATATCTGCATTATAGTAACTGTCTCCTGTCAATTGGTTAGCCTTATGTGGTTGTAACTTAGGTACACCAAGTTGGGTTCTATTGACATTAGAAGCTCAAAGCATCTATATAAAGTATAATATTACATGTATATAGAAAAATATATAACTGATGTTGCATAAGATTTTAGTATAAACTCACAATAAGACTATTGGGTATAGAAGACTAAAGAATCAAGACAACAGAAACCCACTTGGAAATTCTTAAGTAAAGAAATAACATGAACTTTTGACAATACCATCGAACTGGTTGAAGCTTACAAAACATCTTTATAGGAACTAAAGCTTAAACCATATATCAGATATATGTAGTGAAGCGTATTACCAACTAGGTTATCAGACTCACGGGAAGAAAAGGTTACAAAAGTATATTATACTAGGCCATCTGAATTAGTGTCTAAGAGAAATTGCCTGTTCTGAGTTGCAACTAGTATAGAATAATAAAGAAGATGTTAAGAAAATAGGTACTGGAGTTTTAGTGAATTTTACAAGATTAAAAATAGTATAATGTAGCAGTTAAACAAGTAACCTCTATAACTGCAAGTGTTAGATAACTATAGTATATTGCATAAAATTGAGTCTGTATCTATAGAACATAAAGGCTCTAGTAAGTTTTCTGTCAAAGATAAAGTAATCCTAAGAGTACCAACTAGCATTAAAAATTTAGATGAGTGTAGCCTTGAAGATGTTCTTATAATATAAGAAGAATTGTATATACAGAAGATTTAAATAAACAAGATCTCTAATTGGCTTGCAGGTATGTCAACTAGTATAGAACTTATATAGCAATATGTAAGCAGATACTTTTTTTTTTTTTTTTTGTTATATCAAAGTAAAAACTTTATTAAGTAATAGAAGTAATTACATTAAAAATTTCTAAACTACATTTATAGTATTTATTTAAGACATCTAATGTAACATTAAACCTTTATTTCTATATAACACTATTATTAATTATTTCAAATTAATTTTAAATATAGAAAGGTTGAAGGAAACCTAAGGTGATAATCTTGGTATTTAGTAAATACAGTTAGTAAGTGTATAGCTTAGAATTAATTAGTTTTTAATAGATATAGTTAAATTTATAGTAGGTGTATTGGTAGTATTAAAATTAAATTGAGAAGATAGAATTAAAAAATATATTTTTAAACATTTAGATTTTTTAGTTATATTGTGAGCTTTTTCTTATTGTTATTGAAAAATGTTATGTAGTAGTCATATATATTAGTGAAACTAATTTAGAATAGTATTTGATATGGCTATAAAGAAGGAAGG